TATGTTCATGCAGGGTGTTCCGAAATTGATGAATTATACCGAATCAGTTTGAAACGTATCATAACAAATTTGACCGATAACGAGAAAGTTTGACATATTTCGTAAAGTAATGCGGTTTTCAACGATCAAGTCTTAACACTCTTGAACGCGGAACGATGATAAATGGAGGATTCAACGTTTTCCTGTGTAAATTTGTTGTATTTTCGTTTACGAAACAGCTACAGCTTGTCCCAGCTTCTAGAATTACCTAAAATAAGCAAGAAAACGTTGGTAAACGTAGCCCAAGTTCTTGGGTTACACAAACGAGGTCTTACTTCGGGATAGCATGTGTTCAAAGTGTCTTCTACCTACTTTTATGCATGTCTAGACACGTTTCCCCATCGTGGTTCGCACGTGCTTAAGAATTCTAGGTTTTTCCCCCTATTTTCAGGCCAAAAAAAAACACGCATAATAATCGCCACTAAAGAAGACGTTCGAGACAACTGTCATACGATAGAAAACAAAGGTCGATTCCTGGAATGGATATTCGACTTTTTCTCCGTATAGGTGAAAACTGAATTTTCCTTTTATTGCGTCCAGCCTCGGTTCTTGATTTATCGTCGCCGATTAGTAAATAAATTTATTCGCAAAGATCGAGGAAGAGACGAAAGACGCGTCGAGAATCGTTGATGGCGGCGGCGTTAGGCGGTTCGAAGCATCCGAGACGAGGGGGCGCTTCGGAATCAAATATTTATATCCGATTCATCGTGTTGTTGCTGGAACGTCGCTTCTGTAATAGCGGATGAGCTATATTTCGTGCATTATTATACACCCGGCTATTTGTGTACGCGATTTCGAGCTGAGAATACACAGTCTCGGGGCTGGATTCCACTCGTTAAGTCAGTGACCCGAATAGAGCCTCACGTAGGAGGAAACAGGAAGTCGTTGACGCAACGCTGATTTTTCTGCCGACGCGGGAGAGCTCAATGGAGCCGAACGAACCTTCGGAATCGGTTGCACGCTGAATTTCCTCGTTCCCTCTCCGCGTTAAGCCGACGAGACAAGTCTCGAGATCTTTTCCGTTGGAACGTTCCGCTGGCACCGTTTCAAGCGCTGGCGCTCGAGAACGTCTTTAAATTAGATAATTAGTAACGCCTAAAAGAAACAATTTTTTTTCACCGCCGTGAAAAAGTTAATTGTTCTTCTTCCGGGAGAGCAATAGCGAAATTTTAAGTAGCTGGGAGTCGATCGAAAGTTTCGAGCCGTTGATTAAGGAGGAATGCGCGAGGTGTTTACTCAATCCCATGTAGAAATTGAAACCATAGATTTTTATCGATCTCGGTGCCCCGAACTTTCTTCCGAACTATAGTATACTTATGGATGTGATCGACTTGGCGAATAACGAGGATCCGCGTGACTGTAGGTGGTAGAGAGGTAATTCGATTCGCCGGCAAGTTACGATCTCTGCATAGTAATCTGTTAGTCCGGATTCGGAGCGCGGAGTGACCGCGAGCACCGATAAGTAATTACGAGTCGAGAGAAAGGAGTCGAGCGAGAGAGAAGCCACCGAAGAGACAGATTTTGCACGCATGCGCGTGACGAGTGTGTAAACTGTCCGCGCTGATGGACGTGTGCCACGTGAACCGCATAATGAGCGCCGATCGTTGCCTGTTCTCGCCCACTCGGCCTCTGATCGTCGTCCCCCGTGAGACGATAACGCGTCGACCTCGAGATAAATTGGTCATCCGCGGTGTTCAATGGCACCTCGACCCGAACCGACGAAAGAAGAAAGTCCGCACGGCGGTTGCCAATTGGTTGCGCAATCGATTCGTTCGAAATGTCAAAGAGTTAAAAGGACGCGGCGGCGGCGGCGGCGTTACGACCGTCCAAGAGACCCCGCCGCGCCGTCCAACAACGTTTCGACGACTCGTTCTGCTCTCGATGTAACCCTTTGTCGCGAACTGCTCTTCGGAATCGAAACAAGGAAAACGGACGACGTCGTTTAACAGACCAGGACACGACCCTGAAACACTTGTCTCAACCTACTCTAGTTGTTTACCTGCTCACTCTCGTCAATTCTAACTGAACGCGACGGACGTTGGCGACTGAAAAGGCTTCGGAAAAAGTGGATCGATCGCGAATAAAACTCTGTCGAGATTACCGACGAACCATTAACGACCAAAGAGGAGAGCTTTAGGAAAAACTGCCAACAACCAACGACGAGACCATATTTCTATGCAGATACGGTCCTTGACGAGGCTGCAGGCTCTCTAGCAGCAGAGGGAGCATCGATTTTTCCTTCTTTTTTCTCCGGAGCCAGCCGGCTCTGTATTTTTATAGCTTCCTGGCGAGCATTCCTGTCCGTCCTTTCCCTCCGTACCGGTTAGCGAACGGTCTTGGACGAGGTCTTCCAGCGAACGAGAAGAAGAAAAAGATCGAGACGGGGCGACGGAGCCAGGAGAGGTAGAAAAGACGCCTGAGCCTGAGCCTGACCTTGTGCCCAAATGCCAGTTTCTGTAGCCACAGTCGCCGATTACTCCTCTCTCTCTCTCTCTCTCTCTCACTCGCATACACTTTGCGCGCGGAAAGGTCGACGAGGGAGGAGGGGAAGGCTTGCATAAGCGTTAAATCGTGCTCGTTACACGGAGAGGCCACGTAATTGGACGTATTTGGAGCAGAATAACAGCGCGGCGCCGTGAGGTGGAGTTCCTTCGAGGAAAAGAGCCCGAAATCACGCGGCTCTTCCGTCCGCGGTCTTTGCTCGATCGGGACACGCTTGGCTCGACGCTGCGTTCGCGCCTCGAATCGCTTCGAAAGGGGCTCGCGGACCTTTTACGTCCACAATGGACGTAATTGGACCAATCGTTCTACATCTTTGGAAGATACGAAACAAGTTGTCAACGAAGTTGTTTTGATGTTTTAACCGATATACATATATTTTAGGCACGAAACAGAGTGGCCGAGCACGATTACGTATTTCCAGGAATCTCGGATATTTCGTGCGTCGATTCAACACGCTCGAAGCACCGGGTTTATCGATCGTCTAGCCGCGATAACGATCGACTCGACGTACAGAGGTTTCACGGGCTCTGCGCGTGATCTACGATGCACGAGAACTGACGAAACCACGAAGAAAGCAGCCGGTTGGAAGCGGTGCGTTCCGTAGCGGGCAACACGAACGTTGCCCGGTTAATGAAGATTTCGCGTGACATTGGAAAATACGGGAATTGCAATCGGCCGTGATCCGTGATTCGTGTTCCGCGCGGGCGATCAATCCTGGATACATGTTTCGGCGATTTCGCTGGAAAAATTATTCCGGTATAAGGGACTGAATTAACGTTCCCTACCAACGATAGCATGGGAACTGATTTACCAGGGCAGAGAATTTCGTGAAAGTTGGCGAAACACTGTTGGAAGGTTGGACTAAACTTCTCTGTTTGAGCCAAACACGATGACTCAACTTACCATTTGCCCCTCTAATTGTACACGAGCTATAAAAAATTCCTGCAGATTCCCCGACCATCTATCGAAACGAGATTCGAACGATTCGGACACGAGCACTGAAACGCACGCGTGGCTGTGATAGCCTGAAATTGTCAGAACCTACGACCGACCACGTCGCAATTTACCCGCTGATGTTCGTCGTTAAGTCAATGATAGGCGGCGAAAAGGAGCAGCGCGTAGGACGGACGGTACGGTTTTCCTGATGAAACGAATTTACTCGTCGGCGCACGCTGGGTCAAACCGATAACAATTTGTGGAAAGATCGTACAAGTGGATCATTTTAACGTCAAAAAATTACAAAATAAATTTAAATAGAAACTTGATCGGTTTCGATACCGGTGCACCGGGTATCGAAAGAGCTCGTCTCCTCGACCGGTTCGTGGAATATTCGGCATTTTTGCAGGGATAAATAAACGAGACGAAAACGGCCCATGACCAGCGCGGGGCCGGTTTATTTTCGCTGGGGCCGCCGCGGGCAAACAAACTTGCGGAGAGAGGACTGTTCAATACCAATGTCACAGAGAAAACGCGTAATCGCGATGGTGCACGGAGAGCGAGCGAGTTGCCTTCCAGCCATATTCTTTCGTCTTTTTGCAGAGGAGACGATGAATCACGAGCCGGCGTTCAGCGTCAAAATAAACTGCCCGACATCGTAAAGTTACTTCACCGTAAGGTATTTTAGGATGTTCGAATTCTTTGTTTAAATTCACGGCATTGGCGGTAACCATGAAACGAGCTCGCCGGCTGCCATTCCGCAAAGTCCACCGAAAGTGTCTCCGAATCTGTCGGCCAGGAATTCCTCTCCTCCGCCTACGTCTATTTCAGTCGTGGGAACGAGCGACGAATCAAGTTACTCCTTTCGATAAAGTGCCCGAGCTCGGAATAGGGTGTTAGATTCTGTCTCGCAGTAAATCCGATTTAATGGAAAAATCGATATTGGATATTGAAGGAAGACAAAAAAGTGCATGTAATCCAATTGTGTACGATTTGAACGAAGAAATTACTTATCGCGATATTAAACGACATATCGACGGAACTGGAGAAGCAAATTGGGCTCGTTGGTTGATTGATTCGGCAGGGAGGTGACCGAGCCGCGATGGTTCGATTACCGAGGCAAAGCCCGTCTCGTCTCTATCGCAATAATCCGACGGAAGTTAGGAGCGACTCGCAGCTGGCGCCCGGAAACATACGCAGGTACACGCACGAACGCGTCCTGCCCCCTTCCTCCTCTTTTCAGGCCACTTTTTCGTCGTCCACCTTCTTACAGTCGGCAGTCACGCGAGAAGAAACAAAGAAGGACTCGAAAGGCTCGAGTCGCGCAAGAAACTGCGCGCAGCTGCCTCGAGGCGTTCGCATTCCGTTTCCTGACGGTCCGAGGTGCACGCAAGGTGCGAGGACTCGAGTAACACAGGAGCCAAGTCGGACAACGCGAGAAACATTTGGTCTGCTTCTCGGTTTTATCGTTAATAGTTTGTTATCGAGGTTAGATCGCGATAGAAGAATATGGCATCACTCACCGAAGCATTCTCTCCCTCTCGATGAGCTCCTCCTGATTGGGCTGCGCGGGTCCGAGCAGAGCGTGTGAGAGCGGAGGTGGGTACCTGGGCGATCTCCATAGCATTTCGGAGGCGACCGCAGGATGATGATGGCCAGGTGGGGCAGAGCCCTGGTAACCAACCGGCGCGGCGGCGGCTGCGGAACTGGGTCCGGTGTTGGGCGGCGGTGCCTGGGGATGCGCCATCAGTAAGGACGTGTGCTGGACGCTCTGCACGTGCCAGACCCTGGCCGGCGTCGCGGCGGCCGTCGGTGCCGAGGACGTGGTCGTCTCGTCGACGCTGAGCGCGGAACTTCTGCTGCCGCTCCTTTCGTCGCCAGAACCGGCACTCCTCAGGGAGCTTACCCCACTGTCGGAGCCGCTGTCGCCGTAGGCACCGGTAGCGACGGCGCTGCCAGCCGCGGCTCCGACCGCTCGGATACCGACCGCTGCTGGCACACCGGCGAGGACACCGCTTCCAGGTATACCGGCCCCCGCCTCCACTTCCATGAGGCCGGCCTCATCGCCGCCCCTCGGTGCGTGAGACTGCTGTTGCACCTCGTGGAGGCTAGTCGGGGCCAATTGATGGTGAAGTTGATGATGCTGCTGGTGCGGACTGTTTACCACCCTATGCTGGTGAAGCTGTTGCTGCTGCTGCTGCTGCTGCTGCTGCTGATGTTGCTGTTGATGGTGATGGTGTATCACCGGACTGCTAGCAGCGTACCGTTGCTGCTGCTGCTGCTGTTGTTGATGGTGATTCTGCTGCAACGACTGTTGATGCCGGTGCTGATGGTATTGCTGAAACTGATGATGATGGTGATGGTGGTGACCAGCGCTCGGCGGTGGCGGCTTGTTCAATCTTTCGGCTAGGATGACAGGACTCTCGTTGTGCCGGTTTCGGTCCTGCTCCCGCTGCTGCTCCAGGAGCAGGTTCTGCCTGCCAGAGCCGCCGCCGCCGCTGCTACTTAGCGGACTCAGCCTCTCCAGCACGGAGCCTGAGTCCTGACTGCTCGACTCCAGCAGCTCGACGACCGATTCGACGCTCGCCGCCCTCGCGCCGTTCACGCTACCCACGCTATCCTCCGTGCCTAGCTCGGTGGTCGGTTCGGTCCTTCGCGAGCCCCGGTCCTCTTCTTCCTCTTCGTCTTGATCCTCCGCCTCCGCCTCCGCCTCCGCCTCCTCTTCCTCTTCCTCTTCCTCTTCCTCTTCCTCCTCGATGCCCTTTGCCTTCGACTCGATCGCGGGCTTCAACAGCAGCGCGGCGTCGGCATCGAGGAGGACGCTCGCTTTCTCACCGACCGACGACGAGTCGAGCAGCGAGCCATTCGGGTACACCTGTTCCTTGCTCTTATCCCGCCCTGCCGTTCGTACCTCCCTTTCCGGGTCTAGTTTGGTCCTCGATGGACTCGAGTCGCCTCCAGGGTCTACTTTGTCCGGAGGTGGAGGCGGCTCCGGTTCTCTGTCCCGTTCTCTCGATTGACTTTCCTCGTTCTCTTCGAGCTTGTCGGCTTTCCTCTCGTCCCCGTCCTCGTCTTCTTCTTCTTTCCTTTCTTCGATTTCTGTTTCCTCCCGATCGGACGCGGTTTCTTCGCTACCTTTCCCTTTACGCTCGGATCTAAGCTTCCGGCCGACCGGACATGCCCTCAGCCTTTTGGTCAACGGATCGCAAGGCTCCTCCTCGTCCTCTTGCGCGGCCCTGTCGTCTTCTTCCGATCTGCCGCCTCCAAGACGTTCCTCCTTCTCGCAAGACTTGATGCTCGCCGGCCGATCGAGCTCCACCGATTCTGTTTTCGCTTCTTGGACGGCCGCTGGCCTCGGTCTCCGTCGCACCGGTCTCTGCGACTGACTCTCTACCGGGCTTTTTACCGCGGAGCCGCGTTTCCGTAGCTTCGAGGCGCTACTGGACGCGCTGTTCGCCTCTTCCAATACCGTTCGCGGTATTCGATTGCTCGGTCTGCCCGATGGCGGACCCTTGTTTTCCCGATCTTCTTGTCGCGTCGACAGACCGGTCTCAGCGTCCTTTTCTAACCTCTCGCGACTGGCAGCCTCGTTCACGGGTCTTCGCCGACTGTTGCGCGCTGTGTTCTTTTCTGCAACAAGAGTTTAAAGTCGTGTTAGCAAAGTTACCAACTAACTACCACCTCGAACGATCAGCATCGAATTATGTCGTCCGGCTTATATTATAGCGGTTATCGATCGCAACCTAGACGCACTCGTGACCGATACTCTACGCGGCAACTGGAAGCTTATCGGTGTAGCCTTGTTCAACCTTGTCGATTAAGGTCGATCGATTCGGCGTAGCTGGTCGCCGTACCGACCGTTTGTCACGCGCACCAATTACACAGGAGAATCGCTAATCTCTTCGATACACGCGCTCGATGCGTCGCGTAATTCGACGATCTTTCGAAAAGGTGGCCACCTTCTGTCACGTATAACTGCGAAACTATGCGGGTAACACATTGCGCGTCCCTGTTGCAATGGGAATTCCACCTGGCCTTAATATCCGTGCGTGTACGGAAATTACCCTGGACTTCTTAACGACGCGATTCGTCCGTTCGATGGTTACGATCTGCCGGCGATAAGCAAAGGCAAGAAGCGCCCGTATCTTTTCCTCGCAAAACGAATCGCGAACATATTGGTTCGTTCGAACGTTACGAACCATCGATCGAAGCAACCGTCGTCGGCACGGATCGAAGCAATCGTTGGAATCATCCGACGATATGCAACTAATCTCGCGAAATCGACCTTCGAGATGCGCAGTGCGCCGACGTTGCTTTCGTCTCCTTGACCCCGATCGGAGACTCGCCAGTTCCAATATTCGGTAGGGAACGATCGTTGCATTCGAGGAATTGGTGTTCAGGCCACGCTCCTGCCACCCCCGAGAGTTCAAGGGTCTTCGGTTAGCTCGTAGGAGAACGCGGTAGTAGTCGGATACAATTTATAAAGAGGCATCGCTGGGATCGAGCTCGTCGTCGAAGAGAGACAGACGCAAACTCTCTCCGCATACTCTCTCCAAACGGAAATCAATTACCTTGAAATTCTCTTGACGCTCAAACTTTTAAACAGAAAAACTTGACACCACACCGTGCACTCTATAAAATGAAACAACTTCTGCCCCGAACGTACTTCCCTGTCTTTAAAAATAAACTAGTTATCCGGGTGACCCGTTTTAAATGCCCCCTTTCTGCGAAGCAATTTCTGTTTAGTTAGCCACAAACACAGACCCGTGTACTTTAGTAGGAAGTAGGCTAAACGGTGGTATTGGAAGGCAGCATCGAGGAAAATGTTTGCTATTCCGAGAAGAGAGAATTGGTTCGAGACTGGCGAAATACTAGGAGTTTGGTTAATCTCGTTCGATAGAGTTGGCCAAAATCGGGCGTTCTTTGGCTCGTAGGGTTTATCGAAGCGCCATGATCGGCGACGATCGTCGTTTTACGGGTAAATTAGGCAGTCGACGAGCTGCTTGGCATGGGGCCTGCGAGTCTCGGAAGAGGAATAAGAAGACCGGGAAGGAGGTCTCTGGCGACCGGCCAACGCTTTTATTTTTACACTCGGGGTTCTGGTGTCGTTCTCGCAGTCTTCGCCCTCGTGCGATCGCCATTTTCCCCCGCTTTCGCACGAAAATCTCCTCCGTTCCGTTGGAAATAAGTTTATCAACAAACGCGCGGGAGATCCTCGCACCGTGGCAGGGTGCTCTGGCAAAAATAGACCGGTTCTAAAATAAGCGCGCAACACGAGACGCGAGAACGGCTCTCGAGGATTTTCTGATCTACCCTTTCCCTCTCCTTGTTGTCTTCGAGGCCCGTTTCATTCAACGACTGTCGCTCTTCGACTCGCGCCATCTTCCCCGTGAATCGCTCGGTTAACCGAAACACAATTTTTCTCCGAACTTCGTAAGAATACATTTACGATACAAGGAACGATTTCTTCTTTAAAATACGACACAGTTTTTACGTTAAACACAAACGAACGTTTGCGGAAAGTTTGATAGAAATCGGAGTCTGTGAGCGATGTGCCTTTGCGAGAAGCGCAAGAAGCGAATGTAACGTTAGCGACAAAGCGAATTGACGAGGTTCGAGGCAGGGGAGCCAACGGAATAATCGATGCGAGAGGATGGGCGCATTGTCAACGAGACAGGACTACCAAGGACTACCTGTGCGCGACGTACAGATTTTGACAAAGCGTTTAAATGTCCGCCAGACTCGGCCAGTCGGCTTTAATTTCATCCCTGCGAGACCTGGGTCAGGACGAGTCGATATCCATCCTAGCGCGGGGAAGGGTTGCTTTGTCCGCTATGACAAAGACCGCATATATATAGTTGTTTTTCTGAACTCTAGCCTTTCGAAAGGGTGAAACTGCTACAAGAGAAAGGACACTGAATTTCAGGACTCGCGAACGGGGTTACGGAAAAGAGATCATAGTAATCTTGTCACTTTGAAAATTTTACATTAAATTCAGAAACGTTATTTCATATCGGGCGTTCATGGTGTCAATTTTATCGAAATCTTTTATCGAAATCGGCGTCCGTTATTAGCGATTTCCCCCTTTTGTAGGACAGGCGAAGTTTGCCGTTCATCGATTCGTTTCGTGTTCAACAGCTGCGACAGAGTATCGAATACCCGCCGATACATACTTTACCCGTTTAATCGTCCGTCAAATGTTGAAAATGAAATCCGCCGCGATGATACATAGCCCCGCCTTTAACTGTAAACGTTCCACGGCGAGACGACGATCCGCGTCAGCGACGGAACGTCCGGCAATCCCGAAACGCAAATAAAAATTTCGTCGAAATGAAAATTCATACGCCGTCTGTACCGCGTTTTTGTTGAACCTCGAAATTCCAGAGCTCCGTAATCCTGCCCCTTTCAATATTCCGACGCACGCCCCGCTCCGGAATCCACGTACTTTGTTCAGAAAATTCGTTTCCGCGATTTCGTTCTTCGCAGCAGAAATCCATCTCACGAAAGCGTTCGCTTCACGACACCAATCGTCAATTACGACGCTAACCCGCAAAAATGACAAAAATACGATAACACCGTGCAAACATCACCTATCACCTGCTATCTATAAAAAATCAATCGGAATCAATTTGAAAAAAAGGGACCGACTCGAGCGACTAGCTACGGCGAAACGTTGTTCTCAATGGGTTCGTTTCCTTCGGAATGCAATGAAATTTTATTCCCGAACAATACCCTCGACTCGCATGCGAAAGGAATAGGAACAACCGAGTCCTCTTCTTCCTCCTTTTTTATCTCCTCGTTCCGAACAATAATCGTCTGGACTTTGTTTCTCCCTTTTGTCGGCGCTTTTGCTGGCGTCCCAGGAATAATGGCGAGGCGAATTAAAATGTAAAGCAAAGCACGTTGGCGCTGTTCAATTACGCAGAGCGTAATGCATGCGGACCGAGGCAGGACAGGAGGACAAACCGCAGTCGCTAGGAAACACGGGGTGTCGAGAGTTTGCGAACGCGGCCGTCCTCGCGTTACATGCGTCCATGTATTCTGGATACATAGAGCGAGCGCCCGTGGCCCGATCGAGCGCCCGTGCCCAAGCCCGAGCTCTGCACATCGGATAAACGCACCCCACGTATGCAACGCCGTTGCCCCCTCGAGTCTCTCTCCCTACGGGTAATAACAGTAAATCCTGAGTAATAAATCCCTTTCCCCTGTCTCTCCTCCTCTCCAACTATACTGTCTCTCTGCCTCCTCCACCTGTCCGTTCCGTTCGTCTCTCCTTCCTTTCCCCTGCACTTTCCTCCCTGTCTCTCGCCCTCCCATTGCGTTTCCGCGCAGCTCTGTCTAACCTCGCAGTCGCCAGCCAACTCTCCTGGACTTTCTCTCCGTTTAAACAGTTATATATTCCGACCTCCCGAACTTGATTTGCTTCCTTTCCGCCAAACGATGCAATATCATTTTTAATACACTTTTTTAACCGCCTATCCGCGCACGGAAGCCAAATAACGGATGCATCTTCGTACAAAGTCCAAACAAGTTTTCAACTAGACAGAAAGTTGTTCGGTTTTCGCGCTTGCCTAACAACGTTCGATATTTCTATAGCATCGTTCGGCAAAGTCACGAATTCCGTTGTAACGAGAAGCAATATCGTTCACGGTTGACGTTAGCTAACCGCCTCGAATTGAGTAACACAGGTTACGTTGTTCCGATGCAGATAAGCCGACCGTAAGAAGGAAAGTTTCCAAACGCGTCGAACGGCGATGACATAATTAAAGGTTCCCGTGTGTTTCCACGTCGATGCCGACGTGGTCGTTATCCACCTTCCTACTTTTATCTTTGGAAGCTCGCGACGTTTAACGTAGCGTGACGCGTAGCGAGTATTTTCGTCGGCGGGTCGTCCCGGTTTTTTGCTTCGACCCGGGGAAACAAAAGCGACGCGAAAGAGAGCAAAAAAGAACGAGACACGGCGTGTTCTCTGTCGAAGTCGTTGGAATTCGTCATGTGTTGGCCATACGGAATCGGTTCCTACTTTTTGCCTTTTTTTAGGGACCTCTCGGCGCTCTCGTAACTTCTCAGCCCCGACGCTGACATGGGTATCCAGCGAACGGGAAAAATGTGTCGCGGAGCGAGATGCGCGACGTCGAAGAACTCGTTCAGCGACTCTCAACCGTCTCGTTTCTATTTCGTTGCACCAAGTATTTCGAGATTGCCAACGCAAACTTTTCTTTTCTATGTGAAATTTGATTGCAAGAAACATCGAGAACGTTAACCTTTGCCGACGTTGATACGTACAAAGTGCTAGTAAACTATTTAATTAGATCGTAAAACTGTTATCTGTTGGCAAAGCGTTCGGTTTTTAACGCGCACTTTTACGGCTCGGGGCGCTCGGGGAAATACGTCCGCACCTGCACGAACGATTCGAACGAACGGGCACAAACCATTTAAGAGGCAGGCGAAAGAAATCGAACTCGCTCGACTCGGATTGACCCAATTCGTTTCTGCGACGCCCGCCGATCCCTTCGTACAAGACGTTCCACTTTAATTCCAGTGACGCCAGCTGAAGTGTATCTAAGAGGTTGCTGCTCGTGTTTAACTTATTTTTACCCTGTTTTCTCAGTCGTCTACGTTGATTAATT